ATGGCTGATGCAGGAATGAAGCCGACCAAGATTGCTCAAAAGACTGGTATTGACCAAACAACCATTTCTGCAATTCTTGCTCGATCGGCGGCTTGCGGGACCGTTAAAAGGGCTACTGGAACTGGAGGACCCCAGAAAACAAATGAACAAGACCGTTGCCAACTGGAAACAATCCTAGAAAAGAACCACAGAATGAAGATGGCTGAAGTAAGAGACCAACTACCCACTCCCATCTGTACCCGTACCGTGCAGCTATGAGCCCACGAGAATGGATCCACCAATTGTGTTGCTGTGAAGAAGCCTTTCCTCACAGACAACCACAAGAAACATTGATTGCAGTTTGCCAAAGCCCACAAGGACTGGACCCCTGACAACTGGCAGAGGATCTTGTGGACCGACAAGTCCTCATTTGAGATTAGAAAACTCTCAAGGCAGGTTCTTGTCTGGAGGAAAAAGGAAGAGAAATATAATTCCAACCTTCAAGAGCAGTCGCACATCAACAATGATCTGGGGAGCTTTTTTTGGTAATACTCACGCACCACTAACTGTTGTCCCCCGTGGTAAACAAAAGGATGTAGACTTCATCAAGAACATTTATGAGAAGGATCTCATCCCTTTCCTTGACAAAGTTGACCCAGATCATCAGTTAACACTAATGGAGAACAACGCTTGCGTCCATACAGCTAAGGTTAGCTGGGAATTCCTCAAAGCTCATTCAATTGAGAAACTCAAATGGCCAGCGCAATCACCTGATCTCAATCCCATTGAGAACTCTGGCAGGTCCTCAAGATCAACATTCAGGAACTTTACCAGCCCCAATCCGTCCCAGAAATGAACAAGGTGTTGAATCAAGCCTGGTCCAACTTCCCTAGCGAGATTCTTGATCACCTTATTGATTCAATGCCCCATAGGGTTCAAGCTGTCATTGACGAAAATGGTGGATCGGTTTGATGGTAGCCTTCACACTTATTCAACAAAGAAAAAAAAATCAATAAAATCAATAGAAAAACTTTTTTGGACTTACTATTTCATAATGTTTCTTCTCTACCTGCTTTGCACCTCACCATTATTTTTCCCTATTCCATTATTTTGAAGCATCTAGAAAATTCACATTTTTTTGTTTAATTTGTATCTTTTTTTTATTTCACTTGTAATTAATTGGTTAGTATAACCTTTCTCCCCAACCTCCTGTGCCCCCATGTCAAAAAGATTGGAGACTGAAAATGCTTGCATGCCTTGTTAAAAAAAATAAATGGGACACCATTTTTACCTGTCTACCCACTGTACAAATGAAGAATCACATTCTTGGGAACCTGTTCCAGCACAATGTGGGGCTGTGGTCTTCGGGGGTATGTACGCGGTACACTGAAGTGGCCTTGTGATATGACAGACAGGGAGCAAAAAACTGATGTATACTACTCACCTGCGATCTTGCGGCATTGCACAAATCATTTTTTGGAACCAACCTTCAAAAAAGCATGCTAAAATAAAACATATGGGCAATTACAACTGCTATCGGAAAGCAGCACGCTCCAACTTATCCGAGACCCTCGGGGGTAGAATTTGACGGCCATTGGCCTAAGTCCGCGAGGGGCTTTCATTATTTCAGTTAAATTATACCTCATATTCAGGTACCACGGAGCGGATGTTTGGTTCCGTGTAGATGAGGGCCTATCAGTTTCTGTAAGCTGGCCTAACTATAATCAACATTAGGCCAATAAGAATTGACCCATGATATTTAAGTAATCCTAAGAGTATTATTTAAAAGCTGGAATCCTGATAGACCTCGGACTTGACCCAGATCAGATCCTGCCGCAGGCCGGGTTGCCAAGAGAGGTCGGCCTTCTCCGGATCCTCTTCAAGAGGCTTTTCTCAGGCTTGCGAATATCGCTGAGGGAAGATCATTTCAAATCCGAATCGTGCTTGCCCATTTTTTTTGTAAAGCAAAAAACAGATTCAAGTCGCAAAACTGGGGCGCTATTGATCCCCGGTGCCGTGACTCCTGAGCCCGTATAAGCGAACAGAAATCGTGTTCTCACCAGTGAAGTTCTCAAAGAAAATCAGGAGGTGATGCTCATAAACGGCCGACATGGACTTGATTCGATGAAGCATGTTATATGACGATGAACCACATAATTAAACACTTCAAACCTTTTTCTTTGACAAGAAATCACACCGGCAAAGCTGGCGCCGGAGAACCTGAATCAATCTTGTGAAAACGTTCTGTGAACTGTGCCACTGTTGATTCCCGCGAGAATATTTGTTTGATCCTTGAATATAGGGGCTTGCGTCGCCCATACTTATTTTGAGTATTCCCTCCCCCCTGAAGCCAATGGCATGTCGAAATACGCAGTCTTCGGCTGTGTTTTGTTTCTTGAAGGAAGACACCGCAGACTGGAGGATAATGGAACACTAAAGGTGGTGCGAGCAGAACCGCTGGCTGATGATATGAACTGAGAGCTTCAATCATATCATCTAGATAGGACCATCACACATCAAGTGTTGCTCGATCTCTCCCCCCTTGTCCAGGGGGCCCTTGAGGGCTTTCTTTTTTTAAACCCTACATCCACGAATTCCTCGACGAAACTGAGGAAGGCTAAAGCTTTCAAGTTTCGGCGCTCTTCAGCTGTATTTTGGTACCTACGAAATCCGAGTTGAGCAAAGTTATGGTTTGTTGTCTGTACTCTTCGCAAGGTTAAGTGACTCAAGATGAGAGTACTCGGACAAGTTGGGCAGCCCGTGCACAATATAAGCACCATGGTGATGTAAACTTTCAGGTCATGAAAATGATGTGAAGAAGCCTTTCAACAATTGCCTTCATCTTCGAAACAAAACCGTAGGGTTACTTCAAGTTACTCGTCACTAGTTCTGTCGACTTCAATCCCATCACTGAACCCACTCTGGATCATTTTGATTCATTATTTCTGCGTGAATCTGGAAACGCAGCCGCCAGGCTGATTCAAGCTGCTTACACAAACTGCAGCCCATCCGAAAACGAGATTCAATTCAACTGGTACTTAGATCGCTCTATAGGGTCTCCATATTTGTCATCTAACGTATGCAGTGTAAGTCCTTCATGTACCTCTGACTCTGTTTTTTTATCTCCCATTTACTCCAACTCGTGAAATATCGGAAAGTCATACACGCATCTTTCGCAATAGACGGATGCCAAACTTGATTTTAATTGGCCTAGGGGACAAGCTGGGCGAGAGTACCTGCGCGAGTCAGCTGCAGAAAAAATATGCTGGATCATGTCCGTTACATAATGTGATCTTTTAACCAAGTTTTACTTGAAAAAAGAGGCACGAACCGGTGTTCTAACTTGGCGTTGTCCCAAGGGATGCACTGTGATGAAAAATAATCATTTACTATACCTTGGTGTTCTTGTGGTGTCTTTTTTCTTCTATCAACATGCACAATACAAGATTTTCAAGTCCGGATCCCTCAAAGAACTTCAGCTGGAAGCTGAAAACAGTGGAACTGGGAAGTAAATCGATTTAGCAAAGCCCAGCAACCACTGACGCTTTCTAATGTGTTTTTTGGGGCTCAAATGAGTTTCTTCAGGAAAGCTTGACTTGATTTATCACAGTCACGCCCTCTTGATATGAGGCATAACTGATTTCCCGGTGGAGAATGGCTTGATTAACCCTCTCAAACGGAGGGGGGGAGGCCTCGAAGTTCGGGCCAGCCAGGCAATACCCTTATCGCGGAGTTGACAAACCCCTCATGGGCAACCCGCTGGGCGTTTATTAGGTGACACGGCGCATACATTTTGATTCTGCGCGGTGGTCATCGGGTGACATGATGACAAACACTTATCATCATTAATAAAGCCTGCGAAAAATTCCCATCTGTCTGGACTTCTGAACCCGCCATCCTAGTGTAGTTTCTGCGTTTGGCCAACCAAGATATCATATATCGACATTGAAGAATCTTGCAGATTATGCCGGGGGGGGACGGGGATTATAACACTGGTGAGAAGGCTGTTTGGCAGGTCACATCATAACAGCTCGTTCATCACGGAATATACTTTTTGCTTATATTCTCCAGCCAAAAGGAAATTCTGGCCTGGACCAATATTTACCGTGATAACGGATTTGCATGGTTGTGTAATAATCGGATTAAGGTTGATAAATCTTAAATCCGATTATTAGGATTTGCGTATAACAATATATAACATTTTGGGCGGCCAAACGGAGCGATATTTAGCGCTTCCATCGAATCATCCTCTTACAGTAATCCCTGTGAGAATTAAACCTCCACGGGGGAGTGCAGACCTGTGCAGACTCAGTCTTGCAGATATCGGCTAGGATCTCATCCTAGTTTGCAAGTCTTGCCTCCCATGAACAAAGTCAAACCCCCATGATTGGGGCATTGGCGTTTTGATTCACTTTGTTTGAGAGGTGTGGGCAGCGCAATCCGAGTTGCTTTTGACGTCTTAAAAAATCAAGGCCAACACCGAGAAGTGCCATCTCAAGACTCGAGTTGAGCCCACCTTGTCCTTGAGCTATCTTCAATAGCACTTTTTTTTAAAAAAAAAAGGCTGATGAGTCTGGACTCAGCTAATCCCAATTTCGGGGCCGCCTAGACCGCCAAGCCCTGATTGGATGAGAGATTTCATCACCCAAGACGATTGGTTATGTCCACTCACCGCTCGATGCCCGGGGAATCTGATGATTGCCGGAGTGGCACCGGCAATCGATTAAGACGGACAGACGAAGGCGGATCATGAGAGACATGATTCCGAACTCCGGAATGCTCCTCAATTGTGTATGAACTTGGCAAGTTCACGTTTGACCATGTTTATAACCGTAACATAAATAAGCAGATCAACTTAACTGGGAGCAGCTTGCCCTTTTTTACCCACTAGATCTTGTTCTGGTAGATGGAAGAAATTGAAAATATTTGTCAAGTGCCATGCATACATGACAATGCGATCTTCAGTCTCATCGCATCCAGTCTGATGTGAAGATCGAGTCCGCGTGTTTACATAAATAAACATGCTCGTCCTTCTTCTCTGCCACAGTGCCACTCCCACCCGGCCACGAGAGATCACGGAAGAGGTCCAGAGAGTCAGTGAGACTTCGCTCGATGACATAAAAGTAACTGCACTCTTACAATTAGCATCTCTTGGAGATGAATGGATCTCGCACAATTTCCTAAGTCTACAAAGTTGGCTGCAAGCTCATTACTCACCACCAATTGTTCGGTGCTCCTGGATTGATGTCAATCGTATATATCCGGCTGTTTAATTCGTTGGCTTGATTTTGCCGCAGTTCCTCGGGCACCACTCAGAAACGGCTTGTTCTCAGTGAATTCCAACGGTTTGTTGCTGGTTCTTGCTGGTTGTTATCGTGGAAAGTAAATATGTGACTGAGAATTTTTGAGGTGGCTGCCTGCTTTTCTAGAGCATCTGGTCTGCTCGACTTCATCAGCTTGAGTTCCTTTGGTTCCCTCAGAGTCGACGGCTAAGGTTACTTGCATACCGTGAACTGACATTCTCCCCTAACCACTCATCATTTCTTGACTTGATTTGAACAGATGTCTCCTTCGGACGTCCCGGACCCTATCTCTCCGACTTCTGCTAGCGCTGGTCTCCCCTCCGATCCAGCGTACTCCACTCTAAGTGCATGCCTGAATGGACCCTTGAACCGGAAAACTGTGTCTTCGGGTACCGTGATCTCTTTGGCGGATCTTAGATCACCTTCCTCTGACTTGCCTCCAACCCCCAAAACTCCTGATTTTGGAGGGGAAAATCAAACGAGTCACCGCGCAGATGGGACTTATGTACTCCCTGTCCATCCTCTATCTGATCACATAAAAAATGATGTTAATAGACGCAAGGAGCAAAATCGGTTTGTTGAGGCTCTTCACCAATAGACCGGGTTCAGTGACTAAACGTGCTAACTTGTTACTCCAAATTTGGTATTACTTTCGGCAGAAACGCCCAACGAGCATTTCGAGAAAGGAAAGAGAAGGTCAGTAGTTCAAAAATTTGGATTGCTGAACACGGTCATCCAAATATCTCGCCGTGGGCTAAAGACGCTGTGTTCTCTTATTCATTTATTAGCGTCTCCAAGATCTCCAAGGCCGAATTGAAACGTTGGTCGCAAAACAGCAACCTCTTGCAGAAGAGAATCGTTGTTTGAAGCAGCTCGTTCATCAACTGCAAGCGGAAAATCGAGACTTGAATGCCTACAAAACAGCCTTCAACTTGATTGCCTCCGATAGTCTTCCCAACTCCGCCTCGCCGCTTCCACCTGAAATGCAATCCCAACCTCCCCCGACCATCAACACTAGCAACGGTTATCCTGAATCTACTCCGTTATTGCAATTCTCCTCCCTACGCCATACTGCCATGGATCGCAATAATTTGGATACTTGTTCGCAGGCCTCGATAGCTTCGCAGTCCTCCGGCACAGACTCTCCATTCCCTCATCCAACTCCCGGCGGGACATCTCAGCCAATGCTTCTATCGGTTGAATATCCTGACATGACCTCGATCATGCCTCCCCTAGCCGGTGAGGGGCACGGTTCAGACAAAATGGGCTCGGTTAAGATGTGCGACTTTTCAAATACCACCTATCTCGAACAAGCACAACCTCAGCCAAAAAACTCTTACATTTTCGGGACTTCTTCAGATGTCAGCGGTTCTCTGCCAGCATCTGAGGCACCCTCAGGCTCCACCATTCATGAGCTTCAGAATTGGTACAACGAAATCAATTTTCCAGGATCCAAGTAATAGTAATACACATACCAACCGCCTATGTCAATCTACCTTCCATTTTTAAGTGTAATTGCGCCCCTAGCATTGTACACTACGAATTATTACAAAAACAACCCCCGGTCAAGTGCCATGTATGATAGTTAGGAGTTTGGATGATAAATTCTCAACACAGTACACATCACATCAAAATCACCCTCTATATTCAATTTGGACATTTCCCTAGTTGTCAAGAGTTTGTTTGTAAAGTGAATTGATGATTCAAGATTTTTGAGCAAATGAGTATTAATATAGTAGTAATCTGGATTGAGAAATTAAAAGCTCATGCCAACTAGCCATTATCATTTGGAATGGTATTTTTTTGAGATTCGAGATAGCTAGATTGAAATGTTTCTCTTCCACACAAATTTGCATCTTGTTATACCTCTACTCGCATGCGTAACTGTTAACAGATATTTTGTTTTGTTCTATTTGAAAAATCCAATTTGTCAATTAATTCAAAACAACAGTGCAAAATGGGAGTAAAAGGGACACCATCAGTCAGACTCGTATACAGGAGGCTTGGAGTAAGGTCAATGTTGGCCTTCCCACAAGACAAGTTTCGCTCAAGATAATCACCTGACCTGCTGAGAAGACGTCTAGAAAACAATGATCTGGCAGATGTGGCAGATGACGACACCCAGGCCATTTGGGGCAAGAGGCAATTTTTCAAGAAATTCCTTATTTCGTTTTTCTTGCTCCGTTGAATCAATTTCTTTCTTTGATGACAAGTTCTCGGTCAATGTCCACATAACACACATTCAATCTACCTGGTTGATAGTCTGAAATGATGTGCAGAGTATCGCGTTGTCGCTCACGCTTTACTGCTTGTTGCCTCCTCGAAATATGGGCTACATAGCATGGATTGCTCAATTTGTCCATTTTTTGTTGGCTGTACCTTTTGCATGTTGATGGTCAATCAAAATCATCTTTTGTGGAAAAATAAATCTGATAAGTAGTCTCCTCGACTCACTTTGCTGATGAGTAGGAGATGCCCTAGCTCATCTTCCATCGTCCTGATAGTGACAGGCAGCAATGAGTCTGGGCTACACCGCATCATGTAGTTTCTGCATTGGTAGGAGTTGATGGAGAATACTTAATGCAACCCGATGGTGAAATATTCTCATTTACCACTTTAACAATTCCCCTGATATGTAGTGGCTAAATGCCATAGCCACCCCAGCGTATGAGCATAGCATCGACTTGAAGGGAAATCGTGTGTAGACCCAGCCAATGCTATGTCGGCGGAGTTGCTGGCACTGCGTTGAGAATATGCAGCTCAGACGGGACGCTCCGCGTTTATTTTACGCCGAGGTTGTTAAGGTTTCTTGATTTCCTGAGTTTGGTCTAGAAAACAGATAATCTACAACATACGCTAGCACATGCAACTCCGGTCTCCGGTACCGCTTTGGGCACCCAAATTATCACAGCGGTCACTACATGTCTCTAAGCACCGGCACAGTGTTGCTTTAGCTCCTCTGTTTGTTTAGTAGAAAAGAAACGTGGCGGATGGGACTCAAGACGACCAACCACTCGTGTTCTTGCGAAACTGACCCTCACCAGCCCGTTCCTCAGCCAATCGCTATTTGAAAGCAAATTATGTACAGGTTTCTTCCAATACCCGCAACCGCTTTCGACCCGCTCAATGAGATGATAGTCGCTATACGCTACGGGCTCTTTCCTACGCTTCTCGCGATTTGGTTCAACCCCAGCATGTGGGGAATACATCGGCGGGATGTCAGAGCTCGGATATCACGAACTTTCTTCTTCCATGTATGGAGACGCGTGGCCGAAGATACCGATAGACTCCATCGGGAGAGGAAATTGGAACTCATTAGACGACGAGCTTTTGGGGTTGTACTTGACGTTGGGGCCGGGCTCGGCCATGCCCTTCGATACCTTGACTCTAGACTGGTGACGCTATACATCGCATGTGAGCCAAACCAGGCCATGCACCCCGCTATTCGGTAAGAAGTCCTGCGTTCAAAGAGAATGATGTATGCCTGCTCCGAATGTTTAACTAAATTTGGTTGTCTATTCCTACATCACCTAGAACTGAAGCCAAAAAAGCTGGCTTGAAAGCGCAACAATGTGTGATTTTTCCGAATTCGGCCAATGAGCTACAACATCTGATAGACTCTAAACATCCGAAACTGATACCAGGATCGGTCGACACGATCATATCGATCCTCTCACTTTGCTCGATATTCCATCCCGAGCAGGAGCGTCTAGACTATTCCAGATGGAGGTCAGATCACCAAGCGATTTCTCAAATGATTGCGACCCTACTCAAGCCCAAGACGGGCAAGATTTTATTCCACGAACTGGTCCCCAATGAGTCATCACCTCGGATCCACGCTTGGCAAAGGTTTTGGTCCCCGATTAGATCGATCTACTTTGGCGGCTGTCGGCTCGATGTCCCTTGTCTTCGAATCTTGAGGGACTTGGGAGGTTGGTCCCGGGTCAAAACTTGGGACACTCACGACGAGGATCCTGATACCCTTTTCCCTCACCAAACTGGCGAATTGATCAAAGCCTAAATATCCATTCCATTCCATTTACATAAATTAATGCCCTCAAGATTTAAATATGTAGAACTTTTGATAGAACTTGATTTATCCAAAGACATCTTTTATTTTGATTTAATAGTAATAGTGTGCCATGGTACATGCCATCTTAGTTTGCTCCAATTTCGCTTGGTTTCCACGGCCATTTTCATTCAAATTACTTTTGATGTTTTCAGAATAGAACTCGCATTGATTAGACAGATAAATTACCATCAATTTTGGCTTAATGCAGTGCTAGATAGATGACAGTGCAGGATGGGAGTGGGCACAGAACTCCATTTGGGGGCAGAGCCTAACTTGAGACAAGTCCCAAGCTTCTGCGGGCCTGGTGACCTTGGCTGGCTGGCGCCACTCGCGAAGCGAGCCTCCGAAGGAGGGACTTGTGACAAATACGCACAAGCTCGCGTGTCGCTGTTGATTATTTTTGGTGTAGCAATATTTGGATTGCCCACCATGCATGTAAGTTGACTTTTTTTTCAGGCAGATCCAGCATGGTCAAAGTTGACCATGTTGCCAATCTTCTCAGCAAATTTTAGGGATTTTTCCTGAAATTCAGATGAGTAAGATTTTTTTGAAAAATATGAAAAATTGAAAAAATCAAAGAATCCAAGTTGGGTTCCGAGCCTTGAGAAGCTATTACATAAGCAAAAAGCACAAATCTGAGCGGAAACTTTGACAATTACAAAGTTCCTCTAGAATGTAGTTGTAAATATTTCTGGATAATTCCTTGATTAAAATTGACTTTAGCATCTGGGGCATGCTGTCCCAGATTTTTCCCCTATAAAAGTGTAGTAAGTGATACATTAGAATTTTCTGTGCAAAAAACACCCTAAAAACGCGAAAGCGACACGCGGGTGTGTTCGTTTTGGTCACAAGCCTCTCCCGCACTTCGTGTGTTCGACGGAGAGGCTGAGCAAGCTAGGGGCAGAGCTGGTTTTGGAGGTGTAGGAGTGTAGTGGACTTGTGGAGGAGTCATGAAAGATAAGAAACTTTTGGTTTCAATAGAAAATCAAACTTCTTCAACTCTCCAAAGAACAATCTCACACTGTACAAAATCTTTCTGTCTATAGAGCTCTTTGAACTATTGAACAAAGACATACATATGTTCCAATTGATGTGGTTTGGGAAAGTAGAAAGTGAGCTACTAAGTTTTCTTACAAAGGGGAAAATCTATATCTACTGCACATACTTAAAGGCTGTTAGGGGCATT